TCTCTCTCTCTCTCTCTCTCTCTTTCTCTACGTGCGTGCGTTTCTTTCTCATTATCCGGACTAGACTAGGAAAAGCACACATACCTACACTGAAAAACAGATTTTTTTCATTATGAAACAAATCGATTCTACAGAGTTATTTGATGAAGGTTATAACCATCACGTCTCCGAGTTAAAAAAAAAAAAACACGTCATTTTTCAAAATCATTAATTTTTTAAAATCGAATATTCTTTATTTCAGCCGTCATCCGGGCTCTAGGAAACTGACCGACAGAGAGCACAGAGAGAAACTAGGCCTCAGTTTGACCAGTCTGAACGAGATCAGCATGTCGCCAAGATAAGAGGCTCTTCAACACGGGCAGACGTGACGTCATAATAAACAACAGGCGTGCGTGACGTCATAAAACTGCATTCGACTTCACAAGATAATTTCAGTATACTGAAAATTGCAATGAGAGTCAGTGATTTTTAAAGCAATTTAGATATCTGGATTATTATTATGGTTATTATTGTTGTTTCGTTACACAGCAGGACAAATATTATTGCCAATAATAACAATAATGTTACTAATAATAATGACTTATAATAATAAGATAGAACAAAACTTTGTGAAACGAGGCCTTATATGTAAGTAGTGTGTGTGTGGGGGGGGAGAAAGATAGCTAATTGTGTGCCTCATTTTTTTTTTCATTTTCATGACATTTTGTACAAAAGTTCATCATAAAAATAAGATCCAGTTTGTAGACACATGGATAGTGAGAGGCTTAATGGCGGAACCGGGTAGTGGTATGGGCGCAACGAACACTCCCCCCCCCCAACCTCTTAATTTCGGAGTAACCCCTTCTCTGAATATGACAAATTCTATCACCTTTTCGCTCTGTGTTCTACATTTTATAGAAAGTGTTCTTTGCCTATTTTTGTTTGTTTGCCCCCCCCCCCCCCCCCCCAAAAAAAAAAAAAAAAAAAAAAATTATGGATCCGCCATTGATTCTTTTCACTTTTCTCATTGGTTGAATTTTGCTTCTGTTTGAAAAGTCTGTTTTTTAATGCTAGATGTTTACTTTGTTCAGTGTTTTCATTAACCTTAGATACCCTTTGTGTTAAAATCTTCATAGTTGTTTCATTTACTCTCTACCACGGGAAGAATTTTCTTCATTGGATAGTCACATATGTATTTGGGTTTGTACCAGAAGGGCTTTCCAACAGCAACTCTTTGCAAACTTTGAAAACTTTTCAGTTGTTTTAACAATTTTAACAATTTTTTAAAAATTTAAAAATTTGTTTTAATTTACGCAATGGAATTTTATCTTGGTTTTTAATACCCTTCGATCTTGTTAAGTAATTTTATCTGATTGTGCCATTATATGTTACTGTATTTATCCAACTCTTTACGAGTAATGCGTAATAAGAATAAAGGTGTGTTAATCTATTAATCTGATTGGATTCAGCGAGACTCCCCCCGGAGTTGGATCGATCCACGTTGACTGACAGTTTCATTGGGAAAGAGCCCCCTTTAAACCTGCTGTCGAGCTCCCAATTTCTAATTTTACCGCCACGAGCTTCATCTATATGTTAAACGAGATAGAGAGGCTGAGAATTTAAAGATCAGGTCTCAATGGATATGAGAAAATATATCCATCACCTCGGCACTACTATAGTCCAAAGTCCAAGGCATTTTTGAACCTTACATAGTAACTTACTATGAAGTATGGTTTAACTTCTCACACCTTAACTTGGTGATGTTGCTGAATAAACGTTAAGGTCGGGATCAGATTTTAATATCAGGAAAACATATCTTTTAAAAGAAATATCAATACTTTGCTGGCGCTTCACAAGAAAATGCTAAAAACCTTAACCGGGCATATAATAATAATAATAATTTAAAAAAAATCTATTTCTTGAACAAAATATAGAAAATGTAGGCCTTCTTTGAGATCTAAATACCATTTGGGTCAGGGTCAGATTTTTAGATCAGGAGGTAGAGTATTTTTTTAACAAAGGGGGGCGTATATCGTCCATGCTTAACAGATATCAAGAAGAGATATTAAATTAATGATGAACCAAACAATTGTGAGGTTGATTAAAATTCCGATAATAAGTCGTAGTAACTATCAATTACTTACAAATACGTAGTATTTGATCGTGAGTGCCAAAATAACCAGATAAAAAGTCGATAATGTTCTTTTCGACCTTGGACCGGTCGATCATGCACAAAAGTAATGATAATATTTTATCATTTTTTCTTCCGGACTTTGGTGCATCGTAGTCATTTCAACTTAAACTGACATCCACAGTTTGGAAGCCATTGCAGTTTTGAAAACGCCCAGTAGTGATGGGGAACAAGATTTTATCACGAAAATTGGAAGAGTTGACCGCGAGTGTATAGGCTACAATCCCGTGCCGTCATTTTGGTTTAAATGTTTTGTTTTGGAGTTATAAGCCCCTAATTACAGATTTTCATTAAACAAAGACATAATTTGCTTTATCAACGATAAAATCTGAACTAAGACTTTTAAGAAAAATCGCTGGCAGGGTTTTGGAGTACTAAACAGTGTCTATAAATCGGTCACGGGGATCGAGGGTGCTCAGGTAAAAGAGAAATTTGAGACGATTTTTCAGTTTTTACCCCAAAATAGTAATTATGACGTCACTCGTAAGATGACATATGTGTAAATGTAAATTAATTTAGTCAATGAACACTGAAGATTTATTTATTACCCAAAAGAATGTATGTAAGGCAGTAAATAAGGTGTTTTGGGCGAAGGATGACAATATCCCTAAGTGGACCCCGACCTAACTAGTGATCTACTACAATGAGTTAATAGAAATATCTCAAACAAAGAAGACCACATCCTCGTTGTATGAAATCAATAACAATAATCTTTACGTCACCTGACCGATTTACATGGGTCAAGATAGTTTTCTAGGAAGAGCCATTTTTAAACAAAGCGTTCTCTTACTTGATATGAATATAATACTGAATACCTGGGCTTGAAAAACCTTGCCAATTAAAGCACCTGAAGTGATGTTAATTGGTTTCTTGGAAGAAGCATGTTTTGAACAAAGCACTCTCTTGGATAATATAATCGCGCAAACTAAAATAAACATGAACTTTGAGCAGTTCGATTTAACCATATTTAGGCCTATATATATGTCTATGATGCTAGGAGATACCTTGGATCGAGCCCCGGATTTATGTTATTATGACTATCATTTTTCCGCATTCTCCATTCGAACTTCGAAGCGTCTGCTTGGGTGTAAACTGTCGCCAACATTTAGAAAGACATTTTAACGTATTTAAAAGAGTCTACTGGCTATATAGAAATGGCGGCTGCTATGGGAAGGCTCCAGATTGGGTTAAAGAAGACTGGCACGAAATGTACTGTCCCAAACAACCCCAAAGCCAAGTTGATGTACTATCTGGACTGCATTTGCAACGTGCTTAACTTGGACAGCTCCGGGGAAATCCGGCGTCTGAGGGATTATGAGAATTATTCGCGCTTGTCAGAAGAAGAGACCAACCAATTACTGATTCTCTGCCTCCTCATCAGCCCCGATGAATTGATCAACAAATGTATTTTCCACAGCGACGAAATGTGTGGAAATTCCAGTAACGAGTTTTACGAGCTTAGCGCCGTCAACCACACCTTCGTTGTCACCGACAGTATCATGATCGGCGGTGAGCGCAAACGCGTGAAAGAAATCATGTGTTTCAAGATGTCGTGGATTGAGAATAATTTCATCAACCCGATTAAGAGTTTCGAAAGTCGCATTCAGGGACTGAGTGCAAGGAATCGCCAGGCTAGACGCCGTGAATCTGATAGCTGCACCATTATTTAGAAAACGTGACTTTTAAGCTATCCAATGATGCAAGGACTTGTCTGTGACTAAGAGTTCCACTTGGAACCAGCATAAAATGACAATTAAATCGGACTCATTCAATATTTGACTGAAATATCCTTGCTGAATGAATTCTGATGAATTCCTGGATCGCTTCAAATTAAATGGACGGGAGAGACAAAAAAACATATTTCATTTGTGAATGCCATTGTTTTCCCTAGTGGAATCAGCATAGAAAAACATAAAATTTGACAAATTCACTATCAGACTTGACTGGCTTTCATCAGCTAATTCCTTTGATGATGGTGTCGCTTTTTACATCAAGCCAGGACAATGACACCAAGTAGTTAGACAGCTCGGGTAGTGTAATCATTAATTTATTGATAATTTATTTTGAAAAGTTGATCAAAATGAAAGATGTAACAATTGAAGTTTTTATTTTAGATGCTTTTACCTAGTTGTTAATCCATTCCTGTACTTGTATATTCATGGTATTGAACATTTGTTACAAAATGTGGAAGTATACATAACATACACTGATGCTCATAAGTTAAGCAACACCCCGAATAATTCAAAAGTTTCTTCTATCATGATCATTATTTCATTTGTTGGTGGGGTTATGCATATTTCTTTTACATTTTATAAATAACTTATTCAAGTTGAATAATTCTGTTAAATATATACACAACATAGCTTATTGTAATAACTAAAATAACTTTATTAACCAAACGGTACTAAAATATGTCAAATCATGTGTAAAAAAAGTATGCTCACACAGCAAAAAGTACGTGCTGATTAAAACAGCTTATTATGAAAAAATAAAGTTTGATCATCTTAGAATTAGTTTTAATAAAAGAAGACTGTAGATAATAGATGGTTAATCGTTTATTATGCAATAAATATCGGGTGTGCCTTCCCTGGTTTTGAACAACAGCTTCAAATTGTCTCCTGCAACTTGCCATCAAATTCTGCCAATCTTAATTTGAGAGCCGTTCCATTCTTCACTTACTGCCTGCTGGATCTCTCTAATGTTTCTAACTGGAGGTTGTCTCTTGTTTGCTGCCCTATCAACCATATCCTATGCATGTTCTATTACATTGAGAATTGGTAAATATGCAGGCCAATCCAAATATGGGATACCACGCTGTTGCAGCGCGTCTTGTACGGACCATGCTTTCTGGATGGGCGCATTGTCCTGCACCAAAATGATTTTTCCTTCTGGATTTGCTTGAATATGTGATTGTATGCACCCCAACGGTTTTTCGCCTCTGTATTGTTGACCAAGGCACTTCCCTTGAATGACGTACGGTGGCAATTTTTCATTGTTTGGCTGATATGAACTGGTCCTGGTGGCATAATCGAACCAAATATCTTCATCTCTTGCGTCGGTTAATATTATTCTACCAGAAAGAGGATTGTCCAATACATGATGAGTTTGGCGCCATTTTGCTACCAGCTTGGACACTTTACTTTAACTTATGAGCATCAGTGTATGTGTACATGTTTTTAAAGGGCATTTGTGTTGCCAAGATATTGTTGACACATCTAAGAAGAAGGGAAACTACAGAAGACAGCATGCGCACACGTGTACGGGTGCGTGAATGTGGGCGGGGTGAATACCCTTATTGAAACTTCTGTGAGCCATATACAAATTGAGAATGCTGTTTTAGAATATAATAATGATATAAACTAAGGAAGTGAAAAGTTAAAACAAAC